TAAATAATTGATCAAGTTCTGTTTTCTCTAAAGACTTGATTTGAACAATTTAAATAATATGAAGATACATTATATTTTTCTTTAATTTGGAGAGGTTAAGGCGTGAAACTTTTTTAAGTTTGTTGAAATCTTACATTGAGAGTATTTGGAACATAATGGACATTCGGACATTAAAAGAGATGATTTATGTTCGGAGTTATAAGTCTTGAGATGTTATACACCAAGTGAAGTAACGAGAGCAACTCAAGTGCTATAATATTTGAAGACATCGAATGATTGTTTTCCAAATGCTTATATTGCTCACAAAATTTTGCCAACTATATCGGTTACAGTTGTATTTGTAGAAAAAAGTTTCTTCAAATTAAAATTGATTTAAGATTTATTTCCGATCAATTTTATTACAAGAAAGATTGAATAGATTGGTTATGTTTTTAATTGAGAAAGAAATTGTTGAGCAATTAGATTATTCAAATTAGATTAATGTTTTTGCCCTAAAACTGCAAGGTGAATAATGTTTAATTGGTCGTTTGAAATATTGTCGACTTTGTTATTTGATTATAATATAAATTATTTGTATAATACATTTTGTTTGTTGCTTTACTAGTAAGTTTTAAGTTAACAATTGGTTTCCTAATACATTTATTGATTTTGCATGCATATTATAATTTTTTTTGTTGGTAATTTATGAAGTTCTTCTCAGTCCCCAAAAATCACATGATCGGAACTGTCTTAAACAACCACCCTATCAAAAACCTCGATATCCCTCTATGTAGCAGTAATTTTCATAGGTGGGAAAGACGATCGGGAGGCTCTTGCGTATATTGGACGTGTAGTGCGCAATCCAGAAGTAAAATTCGCAGTTGTAAGGTTTCTTTTGGAGGGCAGTGGAGATGGTGTCTCATCAAGAATCACTACAGCAAAGGCCAATACAGCTGAGCTCCAAATAGAGATGAAACTTGATGATGAATGCTTTGCTGAGTTTTATGACAGGCAAGTGGCTTACATGGGAAAGTTCCTTGTTAATTTCGGCCAGACAATTTCGACACTAAGGTCCATTGAAGGACAATATGGACTTATCATTGTAGGTCACGGTGGAAGAGTCAACTTAGTTTTAACAGTACAGATGAACAACTGGGGGGAGTGCCGCGAGCTCGGCCCCATAGGAGACATCATTTCAGCTTCTGATTACTCAACCACAGCCTCCGTTTTGATTATCTAGCAACTTAGTCTTAGAGGGGAACTAGATGACCTCCACAATGAATTTTCAATAATGTGAATATATGCTTAGGTTGTACAATACTTGTGTACTAGATAGTTTGGCAGAGTTTACGAGATATTATTATAGAAAAAAGATAGTCGTTGTTTGATAGAAATTAAAATTCAGCTTTTAATACAAGTGAAAATCAACAATTAATTGTAACTATATGTTTTATAAAACTCATAACTTTTTAACCACGTATGTCATTAACTTTTATCAAATTTTACTAAAAATCTAATTTTAATCCCCTTAAAACATGAACAAAATCTTGTTCTTTAAATTGTCTGGTCCTATGTGTACCAAACTCGTTATACAAGATTTCGTTCAAGGCCAGTTAAAAAGTTGAGGAAATATTCACTTCGCACGTTCAAGAAATAGTTAGTGAAAAAAAAAAAGTAACGTTTTATCTACTGATTTGTGGGCAAGACTATTTTGAACTTCAAAGCTAAAATTGCAATGCGTTAAGAAAGCTGCAAGTTTTTCCTTTTTTTACCCCCACGTGTTCAAACAGAAATCCTGATTACATATTACATCATGTAATCCGAGAAACCAATGTTCAAAATTGTCGCATGTTCGACTCCTATAAAGCCGATTCCAACTTGCATTAAGAAGATACAGTAGTCTATTACCCTACAAGACTGCAATCCAAGTTTGCTTAAAAATGTGAGTTACAAGCCAGGCAATGGAAATTGGGTTGTAAATGCCTCGACTCTTCTTTGCAGATCCAACACACGGTCAATCAATGGGAAGTCCGGAGATGTCACAAATTTCATAAAATCTTGAAGTTTAGAGCCAGAGACAGACTTCTTAGCTTCTAGAGTAATTTGCATGACTAGCAATTCGTCAAAAACAAAAAAACCCGAAATTAAATCGAGATATTATTTTGTCTTCATCAGGAACTAGATGACCTCCACGATGAATTTTCAATAATGTGAATGTATGCTTAGGTTGTACAATACTTGAGTACCAAATAGTTTGGCAGAGTTTGCGAGATATTATTATAGAAAAAAGATAGTCGTCGTTTGATAGAAATTAAAATTCAGCTTTTAATACAAGTGAAAACCAACAATTAATTGTAACTATATGTTTTATAAAACTCATAACTTTTTAACCACGTATGTCATTAACTTTTATCAAATTTTACTAAAAATCTAATTTTAATCCCCTTCAAACATGGACAAAATCTTGTTTAAATTGTCCAGTCCTATGTGTACCAAACTTGTTATACAAGATTTCGTTCAAGGCCAGTTAAGTGAAGACAATGGGAAAGTTTCTGCCATGGTTAAAAAGTTCAGGAAATATCCACTTCGCATGTTCCTGAAATAGTTAGGGAAAAAAAAAATGTAACGTTTTATCTACTGATTTGTGGGCAAGACTATTTTGAACTTCAAAGCTAAAATTGCAATGCGTTAAGAAAGCTGCAAGTTTTTCATTTTTTTTACCCCCACGTGTTCAAACAGAAATCCTGATTACATATTACATCATGTAATCCGAGAAACCAATGTTCAAAATTGTCGCATGTTCGACTCCTATAAAGCTGATTCCCAACTTGCATTAAGAAGATACGGTAGTCTATTACCCTACAAGACTGCAATCCAAGTTTACTTAAAAATGTGAGTTACAAGCCAGGCAATGGGAATTGGGTTGTAAATGCCTCGACTCTTCTTTGCAGATCCAACACACGGTCAATCAATGGGAAGTCCGGAGATGTCACAAATTTCATAAAATCTTGAAGTTTAGAGCCAGAGACAGATTTCTTAGCTTCTAGAGTAATTTGCACACCCTCGTGAATAAAGTCTGCAACTGACACGAACTCATCTTCACCGAAACCTCTGGTAGTCAAAGCGGGTGATCCTATGCGTATTCCACCAGGTACTAGTGCACTTTTATCACCTTTAAGTTCAACATGAACAATGTACACCAATTAATTCCAAGTTTAAGCATATATGACTGACATCAAAGCCACAGAGAACTCACCAGGTACTGAATTTTTGTTCAGGGTGATGGATGCCATATCAAGAATTTTCTCCACTCTAGCACCATCGATTCCCTATGCAAGCAAGCAAAGGTTGATTGATATCAAGAATTTTCCCACTCTAGCAACATTGATTCCCTATGACACATTTTACGAGTTTTCAAGTGTTCAACTATGAAATAGAAACCAGAAACTCACCAAGGGCCGGAGGTCCACAAGAACTAGATGGTTATCACTGCCTCCCGAGACCAGTGTGTATCCCAACTCCATCAAGCGGCTTGCAAGAGCTCTACAATTAGAGACCACCTGAGAGATGAAATAATGGTCACATATGGAGTTATAGAGAGTTATGAATTAACCAAAATAAGTCAATATTTACCTTGTTTTGATAAGCCTTGAACTCCGGTGATTTTGCATTTTTCAAACAAACAGCAAGTCCACCAATCGTGTGGTTATGTGGACCTCCCTGTTCCAGGTAATAAATTTCATAAAAAAAATAATTTCACATTCAGTATATTATTTTTCTAGGCCCAAAACATGAATATTTAGATCGTAGTCACCAGTATAATAACCAGCAAATCAGGGAATTACAAACCTGTAAACCTGGGAAAACAGCATTGTTAATGGCAGATTCTAGATCAACTCCCAGAATAGGATCCTTCCTGAAAAAGATCATGCCGCCTCTAGGACCCCTGAGAGACTGAAGAAATATGTCCAAGTTATATATATGCACTGATGTACACTGAAGTACAACACATATCAAAATAGCTCTGTTTAATACAGAAAATGTGTATAAACCCAGCATAGTTGTAACAGGCAAGCTGCTCAGTCCCAAGGTTGTATCAAATAGTCACAGCTACACATGTACGTAGATTGGCTAATGAAATGTAAAATCTTCAAAATTCTAATCAAACATATCCAACAGGTTCTATAGCTGATTCACAATTAAAAAGATTCTCAAGCTCTTTCTAACTGGAAAAGAATGCCACGATATTTGTTCTTTCATCACTTGTGTTGGTGTCCTTTTTTTTTTTGAACCTCTGGGAGCTGGATGTTTTAAAAGGAAGGATTAAAAATTAATTGGTACAGAGATATGGCCAGATTATTACATCTTGAAAGGTTTTTCAGATCCAGATAAGTACAAAGTGATGAGTTGGTTATTTGTTTACACAATGTATAGCAACTACAGAGAAGGCTGTTACCTAGATAACTTGACTAGTTTGAAGTAACTCATAACTATTATAAGTCCCATGAGAAAATTTATGAAAGCACGTAAAAAGGATTTGGAACCTCTTGGTTTATATCTCTGTTCAAGAATCAAGACCTACCTTGTGTGTTGTGGTAGTTACAATGTCACAATACTCAAAAGGATTAGCAACAACAGAAGCAGAAACAAGTCCACTAATGTGAGCCATATCCATCATGAGAAAAGCACCAACAGCATCTGCTATCTAAAAGGCATATTAAGAACAAATAATTAGATTCTAGAAGCGACCAAGTGCAAATAACACACGAAGTTTCTATAGTAAAATGACAGTGATTTAAATTAGTATATAAATGTACCTTTCTCATGCGTGGATAGTCAAAATCTCGAGGATAAGCACTAGCACCAGCAATAATAAGTTTTGGTCGAAAGAGGGTAGCTGTTTTCTCAAGCATATCATAGTCCACGAGGCCTGTTTTTGAAAAACAAAATTCAAAATCAACAAATAATTATGGGTTATCTATGAATCAACACTGCAACCTAATGCAGAACAGAGATGCAGACCTGTAGATTCATCAAGCCGATAGGGCATGGATTCAAAATAAATAGAAGTGCCTGACACCCTTCTCTTAGGAGTCATGAACCCGTGGGATAAATGTCCTCCATGAGGTAAATCCAATCCCTGAAGTGAATTAAAAATACAGAGGAGCACATATTAATCTAGGTATTCCAATACATTGATTTAAATGACCGCAGACAGCATACAACTTACCATTATGCGGTCATGTGGATTAAGAATTGCGGTGTAAACCTCAAAATTAGCTGGAGAACCAGATAATGGTTGAACATTTACACCCCATTTCGTTGCATCCAAACTAAATGCTGCTAGAGCTCTCTTTTGACAGAGAACTTCAAGTTCATCAATGTACTCATTGCCACCGTAGTACCTGAATCAATAAAAAATTTCAACCATAGATAATGATATATTCAAGATAATGTCAAATTGCTTCTCTTCCCATTTATCTGTTCCTCCATCCTAATATATATACATACAGCTTACCTTTTGCCTGGTAGCCCTTCGGAGTATTTATTAGTTAAACAAGAACCAACTGCTTCCATCACTGCTCGAGACGTGAAATTCTCTGAAGCAATAAGTTCCAAGCTTCTAAATTGGCGGTTCTTCTCTTTGTCAATAATGGTACGAACCTCAGGATCAGATTCACTCAAGTTATAGTCTGCAAAGATACTCCCAGCACCTAATTATTCAAATTCAAGCCAGTGAATAAGTTCTGCAACTACAAAATCAAATGAATCCCAGCGATAAAGAATCATATTTACTGTCAAGTCTAAGATAGACTTTGACAGTGTAGGAAAGAAACAAAGTTGAAACTTGAAAGGCTAGAGTATTTCAGTGAAGGTTATAGAATCTAAATCTACCAATCTTCTCTAAGAAACTTCACATAAGTAACTTGACATGGGTGAAAGCAACAGAAACAAACACGCTTAGATTCAAGACAAAGCTTAGGTTTTAAATGAAATCCAACTACCTTAAATACGATTATAAAATTTACAAAAAGTGAGTACAGATTAAAACCGAGACCCTATATTTTATACAAGGCTATAAATCTGATTCTGCCAAGTAGCAAAGTTAACTGGAAACTAATAATTAAGGAAAATTTAACTAGGAAGCTAATCCAAAGGTGTTTATGTAATTGTTCACTCTACATTATAGGTGGGTCCGTACAGTGCGGCAGTTTGTCTCAGGAAAATACAGGCTTGTCAAATTTCAGTGTTCAAGCAACGTTAAAAACAAGAGACGTTGTCATTTTCTCCATTTATCCTACCAGAATCATATGCATAACTTAAGAAGAAAGGAAATATGTTTCAAGTAAATAAACAGTAAATAGACACAACCACACACAAGAGCATGGGCATCCTGATGCAGATGGCTCGCACATATTCAAGCAAACTGGCATACTCCAAACTAGCAACTAAATTCCAAAATATATAACATATATCATGATAATCAATAGTTCTGTGATGCCTGTAGACCAGTAACTACACAAACTCGGAACGATCACTACCTCCAATTTCAGGCACAGAAACAAGCACAGAAGTGGGTGGCCTCCCACTGACTAAGTTCCCTTCAAGCTGAGATGATCGGCAGGGTTTAACTGAACTAAATTTAACATGGTTTGAGCATCCACCCATACCAAGCCCTTTTAAAGGAAAAACAGATCCCTTTGTCCAAACTGGCAGTTGAGTAGAACCCATAACAGCAGATCCACTACAAGCCTGCATTTCTGTTCACTGTCAATATAAATACTTAGAAACCAAGACATAGCTTGAAGATATGTATGCAATAAAAAACAAACTTAATCCAGACTGATATGCATAAAATATTTCATGCGCAAACCAATTTACTTATTAGCTTATTTAATCATCTTCAAATACAGAGTAATACCAAAAAATAGATCTTGAATTAGATATCTGAATGCCATTTTCTTTAAATAAAACATAGCCAACACGGTCCCACTTATAAAATCCTGTTCACACTTGAACAGGTACATGTTACAAAATAGAAACAAAACTGCACGGGTAGGACGGAATCCCACTGGTGCCCATTTCTGCATTTTTATGCTTGTTTCATACATCAACATAAACTAGTGACCACCCCCAAAACCAATAACAGCTTTTAATTTTTAGCTCATTTTACTTGCAAAGAACCTGGGAATACACCTGCTGAGCTTTATTAATCCAAAGGATAATGAAACTCAACAGCTTCCCAATTTCTCCTGGAGAAATTCAACAACACCTTAAATTAAACACAATTATGAATGAAAAATTCCAACTTTGGGCATAATTCGAAGTCTCTGAATTTTAAATATCCAGCGAAGATTTAACTTCTCCCGTGATATATAAAAGAATTAAACGAAAAAAGTGTGTGAATTGGAGACTTACGTGATTTTGGTTGGAGATTTTTGGGAGTTATGAATTTTGGATTTCTTATCAGTAATCAGTGGAAACCGAAAACCTAGCTCAGAAGAAAAGCGCGCGCCGCTAAACAATTGTACGTATAAAAATACTGGGGCGTGAGCTGAAATGGCCATCATTCATAAATATTTTGCCCAATAAACCTTTGACCAAACTCATTAAAATATAAGGAATGTCAATTATTTAAAATGGTCAAAAGATCTTTTTAACCATATCTAGTCAAATCAAATTAGAGAAAGAATTGGAATTTTCTTTCACCCATTGACGTCATTCCCCAGCAAACAAACAACTCATTCTCCTTCAAATTCAAAAAAATCTTAACCTGATTTCCAAAGATAGCATTGGCTTCGACGTAATCACAGCAGCTTTTGAGCCTCGAACCATTAACTCATCCGGGTATTCCAAAGAGTTCTCAAACCCACAGTAGTTCCTCCGCCATTAATGAGAACTAGAAACCTCCTCTTCTTAAAAATCTTCTCCTTCAAATTTCTAACTGTTGTCTTTCAAATCCAAAGTTATCTCTTGCCATTCTTCTACTGAGATAGGTGATTGTGAAAACTTTTAATGGGAACGACGTTTTCGGGGGAGGCTTGAGTTCGAAATCGGTCTTCTTCATTTTCAAAGCAACTACAAACTCCCATTTAGGAAAATTAATGTAAGTCTTCCATACTTTCCAATGCAATTAGTAGGAAATGGATTTGTTTGTCGAATAATATTTTTTATTAGTTGAGTTTGAAAATCTGTTTTTTATTATGTCTTCTACTTGGGAATCATGTGTATTGGACTTTTACATAATATTTTTTGGGTTTCTAGTGAGAATGATACTTGATTTTTGTTATCTGAATTTGAGGAATTGAATTTTGTTTGAATGTTGAGGTTCATATGTATTCTTGTTCTTCTGCATAGAATGATTTAGGATTTATTAATTACCTTTGTTGGATACAATTTATAGTAATGTTTTTCAAAAAGTGATGTGTATTTAAAATGGGGCTCAATATTGATATCATACTTGTTTTACAATGTAAAAGTCATTTGACAGGAGAATGTTTTACTAGTTCAGTTGTTACCTTTCCCTTTCAAACTCACATACTGGATAAAGGTTGAACTAGGATATGCTCTTTTGCATTTGACATATAAAGATTGTTATACTCTTCATTAAATACAATATGAGGAAATGGTACGTTGGATTGTCTTGCAGTCTGTGTCATATATCAAAGAACCAATATATATGACATGTTTTCAACCTGCATTACTACCAAACTGTGGAAGTGCAGAGTTTGTTTCGGTTTAAATGTCTAGGATTTTCAAATTCTTGGAATAAACATCTGTGGATTATGTCTGCACTTAGTTGAACATAGTAGCGCCTTTGTAGGCGACTCAATTCTCTGTCATAGGATTGCATGACCTCTTTTAAGCAATATATTCCAATTTGGTGAGGGCATAAGACTTTTGGGTATTCTTTAGATGGCTCTTGAAAAGTGAGGTATTGTTTTTCTGTTTACTGTATCAAGAACATAGTGATGAGTAGAGCAAAAGTTGGGCAGACTTTGTTGAAAATGACTGCATTATGTTTTCTTGCCAAGAGTGCCACATAATTGGCTCTTGAATTGGATCCCATCCTTCACTTGAATTCACTTTGTACATGTTTTATAATTTGCAGTGCAATGGATAAGATTCAAGTTGACACTACAATTATAACAAAATGTAGACTGCAGGTAGTACAAGATGTTTATCAGAAACTAGATACAAATTACAAAAACAAAAGCTCCACGAGAGTTGCTTCGGATCTCTTCTTAGATTGAGAGATATAAGGCTGGCTTCACATGTTATACATTAATTATTATTGTGAAAGATGAAGAGCACCAAAAAGGAAGAAATATGGTTTAAGATATGAGACAAACAAGTAAGATTTGGATTGGAAGAATTCATTTTGGTGACGAGCTTAAATGCGGGTAATGATAACAATGTAGATAAGACTTTGGGGGTGGAATGTTGGATCGTGAAAGAATATTTTAAGAAAAGTGTGGGGAAGATTACGAAGGGAGATGCTTACAATGCATTTATGTGTTGTAAGAAAAAAAGAGTGATGAGTATAAGTTGGGATTGATCATAATCTTGGCGTACGTCTTATGTGCTATGGAGGAAAACACCTTCATCGATTTATGGTGGTTGGACTTAGTGGATGATTTGGACAGGTTCGAGAAGAATCGATGGGGAAATTTTTCATTTGAATACACGATGAATGTATTCAAACGTGAAATATGAGGTAAATTAAAAAAATCTGGATGTCAAAGGAGAGTCACGTTGCCGGTATTTGTTGCACGGCTTTCCCTTCACTATAATTGTATGAACAAACAATATACTTAACTTGCATTATTTTTTATATATAAATTTGTGTCGTGAGATAATAATATTTGTTTTACAGTAGGTTTGGCCATTCGAGGCGATTCCAACATTGAGAATGAAGTTTGCTACGAAATATCTGGATGCAACATGTTGAAATCAAAATAAGTAACTCGCCATTTTTTTAAAGTTTAATGGAACAAATTGTGGAATTAGTTTAGCGAATGACTAATGGAATTAGCTTAACGAATGACTAATGATTTGCTTGATTTAATAATTGCAGTTGGAGGTTCATTCTAAATTGATTCCCACTGAACTCGAATTGAAGAATGTCTATTGGAAAGAGTTGACACCAATCGTGGAAGAAGATGAGAGTGCTTCACACCATTCCGAATTAGATGAGGCTGAGCATGATGCCGAGCCACATCATGCATTCCACCAACACTCTCCCAGAGCATCTCAACCACCACCGATATCTCATGAGATCAATATAGTGGATTTACTGAGAATGGAAATGGAAAAACTTAAGGAAATGCTACAAACAGTCATGTCAACTCGACTTGATAGGGTGGAGAAAAAGGTTGACAGGTTGCTTAAATTGGCTGTGGCGGGTCGATTCTATTCAGAAACAAGTGAATTTGATGGTACCACTAATAGCACAGCTTATGTACCAGAATATGAACAGAAGGGTGGGTTGGAAAAAGGAGGCTGGATATGATAATGTGATGGGTGTGCCTGATGAAAGAAAGGTGGAAAAGTTTGAGAAGGACTGAAAGTTAGAAGATGAGATCAGAGGAAAAACTGTAGAAGAGAAGGGAGCTGAGGTTGGATCTAGGGATAATATATAGGAGAAAGAAAAAGAAAAAATAGTCAAAGAAGGTGTTGAAAAAGAAACAATGGTAGAGGAGGAGCATCCCGATTTTGTGACGCCTGAAAAACATGAAGTGGATGCAAATGAATCCACTTAGGGTATGTAAAAAACAAATTGATGTTCAACTTCATGTTATTACCTCTAAAATTAAATAAATTCTAGATTTCTAATTGTTGGTACTCGCAACATATAGGCGACAGTGTACAAATCGAGGAGGTAGGATATGATTCACCAAAAGGATGAGGGTATCGTCTAAAGAGAAAAGCACGCTTATTATGTTCTCCCTTCACGGACCCAATAAAGAGAAGAAAGTTGTCAAACATCGATGTATATGATCCTTATCGAGAAGTGGATCCTATGAAGGTTGAGGCTCTTTACAAATGGATGGAAGCTGCATCTTTTGGGTAATATTTTACACATAGTTGGAAGTACATGTGAAAGTAATGATAGTATTACATAAATATAACTTTGTGTGGATATTGTTGTATGTGCAGTGAAATTATACCTTTGTGCTTTTACGATGTTCAAGCAAAAAATTTGATTGACCTTTTGAATGAGGATGGTTGGATTACTGGCAATGTAAGTAATACAACTTTAATGATTTTACAATAATGTTACATAAGATTCAAGTTTGTATTAATTAGTTCATTTGTGCATATTATGAATGAGGCCCTATACCAGATACGAGAAATGACTTTCTCATGTTCTAACTTATTCCGACAAGATTGTTGCATAGTGGATACTTTCTTCTATCAATTTGTTGTCAATGCACATGGTCAATTGCAACCGAGTAAAGAATTCAATTTTAGTAAGAGTCTATCAATCATGTGATAAGGGCTACTCTGGAGCTCGGTAAACCTTGGAAGGACTGCATATATTTGTATATTCTTTGCTGTACCGACAACCATTGGTTCGCAGTTCAAATCGACTTGGAAGAACGAATAATTTTTATGTTCGATAGTTTGAAGGGTCACATTTGTAGGGCAGCGTTGGAAGCTTACATTCTGTCTCTACAGAAGGGACAGAAGGTTATTCCGTTACTGAACAGATTTCATGTTACGAGTGACGACAACTATAGCACGGAAAAGTTCAA